CTACTACCACATGGAATTAAAAAAAAATCTGTTGCAAATAATGCGGTTTTTGTAATTTAGGAATAATTGAAAAAAAATCTCACAACAAATTCAGCCTTGCAAACGTCTGGTCTTTGTGTGCTGGCCAAGATCAACGTGACCAAACACCACTCTCCATGCTCTGAGCTTCTCCGCGTGTGTGAAAGATACAAAGCTGGTTGAGACTAGCCTGAAGCTGAAACTGAAGCTTTTGGATACTTCATGCTAGGGGTTCTTCCAGCTATGAATGCTGACCCTGAAAAATGAGCGTGTGAGTTTTAAATCTCTCTTTTTAATTTTTTTGTCATCCTGAACTTGTATTGTATTTCCCTAGTCCCTAGGGAGGTCATAGGAAAACTCTGGATAGACAGGAAATGTGTATGAAACAAGCAGATCAGCTGTGTAAAAATACATAATGGACACGTGATGAGGATTTTGAGTATCACACTTTGCAGTACACAACACAAAGGCCTCCTGGGGTGAGGGGTGATGGAGCTCATCGCTTGCCTGAAGGGACACTTGCTGTGAACAATTCATTCAGCACAGCAGCCAATGGTAGGACTGCGAGGAAAACTGATCTTTCTGCCCCGGGTTGGCTCAACAGGCACCTTCAGGCTGTAGTTGAACAAAGGTCTGACACAGGAACAAGTAGAGCTCTATTCCCTGCTGAGAACAGAAGGGATACAACGTTTCGGCTGTGGAGCCTTCTTCGGGCGTGGAGTTCTTCAGAACGTTGTGTCTCTTTTCTATTCAGCAGGGAATAAACCTTAAACCATGGAATAAACAATTTTCCTCGCAGTCCTAGGTTCCTCTGCAGCCGACGCAGCTCCCTACTTGAACTACTTGAACTTCTAGCAGGTCTAACGTTTCCATACCACAGGAAGCTGGAGCTCTGGATGAAGAGCATCCCACCTGCTCTTGGGCCTACGAATTGCATTAAAGCAGGAGAGGGAAAAAGGACTGTCGTGGGCTGCCCTCTGCTTGTTGGAGCATGTATCTGACGACACCGAGGTTCGGGGCTTGATCTGAGACCTGGCCAACGGTCTGCATCCCCCCATCAAAGTCTCTTCCTTAATCACTGACATGAAGGCGCCTGATCAGATCTGCATCATCGTATAATCATATGGAATGTGCCTGAATGGGCTCCAGCTATTTAAAGTGCATGAGTCACTCCTGACAGCAAGCTAAACCTTGAATCCCTGGGACTCTTGAGAAAACCCAGCTCGCTTCATCTTTTTCAGTATTCGGTTGTTATATCCTAATACCTCCAGTATGACTTAATTAGTATTAATTCCAGAATATTATTAACAAGAATGATTGTCAGCTGAGCGTCCTCAATCTACAGTATTTCTGGTGCTTTCAAGCCTTGTGAGGTGTGGTCTATCTGTAAACCCATAGAGTAAACAAGCTGCCTGCCTTGCTCATCGTGCCTTTGCGTTCTGGACAGGAAAGAGTAATAATGAGCAGTAGCAAACAATACGTTGGCAAGGCATTCAAATAAATCCTCAAAGAATGTGCTTTAGGATTTCTTCCATTTTCTTCCAGGTATGGCCACAGTGGTGTTTGCCAGTCTAGAAATTAAGAATTAGGCAGCTGAAAACACACCCAAAGGGAAAGAATAACTTATTATAACTTCTAAGAGCATACTCTTTGTTTGTTTGTTTTTTTGTTGTTCAGCAACCGTCAAATTTAACCAGCAATCGTCCAAAACATCAGGAGATACAGGGAGTCTCCTCTTTCACTAGGAATGACAACACCCAGGATTAAAGTGTCATGAAAATTTGGCTTAAACTGCTTGGCTGAGGGCTGACCTCCCGGCCAGAGGACAAGGAGGCCAGGACCCCCCTGCAGGGTGACCGAGGGGCAGCTGCAGAGGGGGAGAGGGGGAGATGGGGTGGAGGTGGGATGTAACAGACATGCAAGAGAGAGAGAGATGGGGATCTCGCAGGTATTTATGGTGTTTGGGAGAGGAATGGATGTCAGGAGCGATTGCCAATTACTGACAGCAGAGTCTGATTGAGCTTGGCTGTTGTCATCCCTCCTGAACCTGTGTTATAAACTCCATTTAGTCGTCTCCACTTCTTAAGACCTATGCTCACTTGAAACCATGACATTAAATTCCATAATCTCAACTCAGTTTCCCTGTTTCTTTTTTATCTCACGTCGTGCCTTCAAGATTTCACAATATACAGGAAATACTCAGAACCCAAAGGGGCGATTGAGGCAGAGATATGACAGCGTCATAAATACATGGAAAGCTTTTCTTCACCTGTTTTCCACCAGAATAACAGCAGAAAAGCCTGTTCACAGTGTGAAAAGATTGTGAGGGAGATCAAGGGACTATTGGGCTATAACGTTGTTTTAAACGTTGTTGAATGAGGGGCCAATCCCTACCCCAATCTCTTAAAGCTGCCCACGTAGAGCCACAGAAAACACCCCAGGAATGAAACTGACATCAACAGCACCCATATCAGCTATAAAACACGGGTCCGAACAGCAGTGAAGTAATTTGGTACCTAACAGAGGAGGAGCGCACTTTAATTTCAGGAAACATACCGTATGTGAAACCAGGCCTGTTCTGAGGGATGCCCGAGACAGATCGGGAGCTCAGGGTGTGAGCGACGAATGAAAGCCAGCCGTGTTAATCAGCTGGCAGGCGCGGAGGATTTCATTTCGAGAGCGGGAGTCCCGAGACTGAAATGTGCTGAGGCCAGAGCCCGTCTGGGCGCCTTCGGCTGGAGTGCTGTCCACCTGGACTGCCACGAAGCTCCGCGCAAGGCTGTTCATGAGCGCGGAAGAAGTAACACCATTTACAGGAGGGCCGTGAACAGCTCCTGCAGCTCCGGCGCTTTGTCCAGACAGCAGCCTGTGTCCAGTCCTTCATTCTTGTACCCACTGAATAGGACTCGATTTGGCAGGCAGCCAAAGGCCCCCCCAATCTCTCTTTGGTCTTTTAGCATTGCAGTGGTCTTATTTCAAAATGGGCCCAATTCAGTGTATAAAAGCGTCTTGGAACAAAACAGCAGGCACAGTCTAGCAAGTGTTTGGAATCTGTGGTTCGGTGCACACCTATCTGGGAATGTCTCCCAGGAGACTGAGAACAAAAACAGGCTTTCTCCCTGTAGCTGTCATTTTTATTTTAAAGCTTTCAGCCTTTCAACGCCCAATAATGCCTTTAAAACACAACTCAAAACAGCTGTCAACACCCACCTAAGTCTTACAGCACTATGGGATTCTTCCAACAGTGTTTTTCTTAATTTCTCACAAGACCCAAACTGCTGGGCCTGGGGCAGGACTGATCATCTGGTGTTCTGCCGTTTGTTCTAGATGAGCTACATGGTTTAGGAATCATCCACGATTTTTCTTAAAACTAGCAGGGCTGAAAAGGAGCATCCTAATAAAAGTGACTAAGTGATAAAAATAAACAGGTGCCGATAAAACAACCTTTCCAAAGTAAAAACAAAGACAAAACACAGCACTACTACTCCTGCAACCGCCATTAATAATTACACAAAGAAGAAATACAAATAAAATGGAAAAGGTTTAAAGTTTAACCCAACTTCACTTTTCAGTATTAAGGATAGAATGTTTTTCGTGCTTCCGTAGGGTGGAAGTTTTGGTTTGTAAAGCGGTGTCCATTTAACCATTTTTTTTTTCAACTGATAATTCTTTCTTAGAGCCCGATTTTCACAGTGGCCTCGTCTGACCCAGCACAGCCACTGATAAGGTTCTCCACAGCAGTGCAACAGTTCTAGTCCCTACCCTCAGAGCACCTCTAAAGACACCTAGGACAGAGAAACACAACCTAAGGCGGAATTTATGCTGGAATGGTTTACTAGGGAGAATGACGCGGTTGTTATTATCTATGTAGTATTTACTAGGAAAAAAACTGTGGCGAAGGGATGTCCATTCTCTGCTGATCAAGGCAATGGTTACGTTCCTACTCTGCGGGGGTACAAAAGCATCAAGTGCTGACAGAAGGTGAAATAACAGCACTTCCTGAAACGGTGACCAGGGGAACTGCTCTGCACGCTAGGCCAGTGAAAAGCTGTCTTGCCTCGCTGAGGTACTCCAGTCCAGAAGAACAGGGCTCCCCGTGCCCGGCTGCTGGCGCTGGTACCCATTCCACTGTTTGCTTGGAGCTGGTTCTTTTCTCTTGAAGAGAAACAAGAAGATAGACACATCGCCCATTACCGTACATTGCCTTAATGAAAACAAAATGAGAAAAAAAGCTCACTGCTCAGAAGGATGCAACGTACACCTACCACTGTGAGCTGAGGATGCCTCTAACGTCTGATGTGCAACTGAAAGGAGAAAGTGGGTGAAATTTCAGCACAGGGAAGGGAATGTGGAAGGAGTTGCCATATACTTGGATGAATCTCAACGCTAGTTTTTCAAAATAAAATAAAGTACAGAAGCTTCCAGTTTATTAGAGTATATGGGTTGCCATTCGCTTGATGTTCGCAAGACAGCATTTTTTGTTTTGGCAGCTTTTTGAAAACGTGAAATCTCGAAATGATCAAATTCCAAAAAGAAGCTACTTACCAAGTTCCCAGATTCTGGCTCTTTATCTCTGACAGGTAAAGCACATTTGTCATAAGAGCTACCCCCCCTTCACCCTCCCCAGAAAAATAGCAAATTATCTGACTTAAATGGATGAATAATATTACTTTCCCACAAGGAAAGCCTTAGCCTTAAATACAGAGTGTATATTTAGGAGTTTTTTCCATGTTAATGATCAATTTAACAAGGGAATAGTATATATTGCTATGCTCCACCCCTTAAAACTGCAAAAGCAGTCTGAGGTAAGGGGAAAAGCTCATTTCTAGGTTTTCGAATGTTTCTGTTATAAAAGTATGAATGAGTGGGCAGCAAAAAAGCCATCAGCACATTAGATATTTCAGTTAGAGGAGACTGTGGAAAGACAGTCAGGGATTTTCTGATCTCTGACGTGTCGTGCTCTGGAGAACTGAGCAGCTTCTAGCACCTGCTGGGAATGGGCCTGAGTAAAGTTTTTATTTAGCATTTGAAGACGAAAATGTGAATGCAACACAAAAACTGAAATGCTGCAGATTTCAGATGCTGAAAATTAAGAGAAAGGAAAAGAAAATAATCCCCTAATGTGCCTTTAAAAGTGTCCCGGTTGGGCCGGTTTCTACTCACCGTACGTTGGTAGGGTTAATGTTCTTTTACCTGCAACATTTGAAGACTAGTTACAGTTTACACAGCTGGTAACTGAGCCATGCAGATATCATAGGGTGTGTGGGTCCACATTTCAACATGCTCTTATCTAACAGTTGTGTTTGGTTTGTAAGCAAAACTCTAGTCTTCTGCATCTGCTTCTTTCCTGTATCTCGCATCTTTGCTTTCTGGAAATGCCCGTCAGGTGGGACAGCCTTCAAGCTGGCTTTAACCTCTCTTCCGTTTAGCTCCAGGATGGATCAAGGTAACAGAAAGAAAGAGAAAAGACTGAGGACCTTCGGTCCAGTGAGACTCGACGTCCACTGGAAACTGAAAAGGAGCTGGGGGTTCAAAGCTGTGAGAAGCAGCTCCCCTGATCAAATAACTTGGCTATACTGTCAGGTACATGGATATTTGTGAGTAGAGAATAATGTACAAGACAGCAGACGTGATGCAGTGTGTTTGAGTGTGTAGAGAGAAACAAAATGCAAACCAATCTCCAATGGCCTTCAGGTGTCTCTGCAGCTTACATAATGAAAAAGCTGTGGTTACACAATCTGCTCACGATCTATTGCGTTTCGATATGTCACAGTAATCCCAGTATTGGTTATGAAAAAGCTGTCACTACTTCCTCTGTGGACTTCCATGGGAAGCATTTTACAGAACTCTGTAAAAATGTAGAACTCTGTAGAAAATAATATTTTACAAAAACAAACAAACAAAACAAAGCATAACTTTTTCTGTGCTTGGCCAATATACTGAAAGGTTATCAGCAGGGCAGTGTCCACCTGATAAGAGCAACCAGTGAAAATACCTTAGTCGGAGGTAAAAAAGATTGGAAATGTCTCTGTCTAAGATAGATATACCATAGAAAGTGTTTTAACTTCTGCTTATCAGCAACAGCTTAAATATTAAATCGTGACGATACAGCCATTGAAATGAATAATGTCTTCCGTGATATTAACCATTCATCAATAGAAAACGAAAATTATTTAAAGGGGCCGAATAAACAATTAAACATTTTCTGGGTCGTTAATTGTTTAAGAATAACCCCCCCAATTTACCAGTTTCCAACGTTCAGTTGCAAACGTTCAACAGTTGGCACTCGAGTGTGCTGTGTGTGGTTGTTCTTTCGTATCTGAATGGCTAAGGGCTGAATGCTCTCGTCAGGGTGTGATACAATTAATGGATCTGTGGGGACCACGGCTTTTCATTGTTTATATCCAGGATTTGGATTCTGGTATCATGAGGAAACTCATTAGTGACATTTTAGATGATACTGAAATAAGAGGATAAGCAAATGCTGTAGAATCAGTGAAGAAAATGAAAACAGAATTCAAGACTAGGCAAACAGGTGGTATTTGATGCAGATCAATGTAGAACAGTACATAGGAATCTGAGCTTAAAGATGCTGAAAATACTTTGGTGTTCATGGTGACACATCACGTACCACTTCTAGACAATGTGGGAAAAAAAACAACAAAGACATACAGTACAGGACATTCAATTATGCAGTTAAAAGCTCAGAATTGAAATCAAGGGATGTTATGTTAAAATTGTAGAATGCAAAACTTATTAAAACTCATACAGAATATTGTGCACATGTTGGTGGTTACAAAATGGTCACTGAAAATATTGCTGAACTGGAATGAGTCCCACATACAGGAACCACACACATTCCCAGGTTCACAGAAATGTTATCACTAAAGGAACAGATAACTAGATAACTAAAGGAACGGGGCCTTTCTAGTTTTAAACCGAGAGCACTATAATGATTCAACCTGACCTGAGCAGAACCCTCAAACAAATTGACCGTGTCCACCCGATGGGTTTCCTCAGAAGCCCCCGTGAAACACGAGGCAGAGGACGCAGACGGAAAGCACCCGCAGTCCTGTTCTCCAACAGGGGAACAGGAGGCCCTTCCACAGGGGGTGGTGGGAGGGATAGAACGAGCTACTGAGGCATGTTTTGAAGCCGGCACCTTGTCATCTTTCACAAACAGCTGAGGGGACTCCCGGTTCTGGAGAGCCGTAAATGAGTCCGGAAGGACAACAGATGATACCGCAAGGCTGCCACACACCCTGGAACCTCAGGTACTGCAGGTGCCCAGGTGAAGAGTGGAAGGGCCTACAGCCTATAGCTTATTCAGTGCCCTCCATCAGAAAGTGTGCATGTACTGTACAGCTATGTGTAGCTAGGGGAGGAAATCAAATTGACTCTTTTTTAAGGCCTTATACTCCTTCATATGACACATAGTTACTTTTAAGTCATCAGGTGAGGTTCCTAATGAGTTTCCCAGAGCAGGTTGTACAGAGAACAAAAACACCAAGCTGACACTTCTTTCTAGCTCTCTTAAAAAAATCACAGGGCAGCTCTTAATGTATCTGTGAAAGTGTACGTTTTTTAAAAATGTGAAGTCTAGTACTGCGTGTACCTATGTATTCAGCGCATGCAGAGCAATCAATACAGAGAAGAAAGCATCAAATTGACATTATGATCGTTTAAACTCTCCCAAAAAGCGTGAATCTGTGAAAGAGAAAATTGATAAAACTGTGATGTCTAGTACTGTGTACCAGCATATTCAACCCACTCAGGTATGCAATAAAATTACTTCACCCACAAGGCAAGCGTAAATTCTGTCTTCCATGTTTTTCCAGCCCAGTGTGACAAAAAGAAAATTACAATACAAGGTTAGGTGACTAACCTACTCTTATCTATATTTTTAGAAGCTCTACTAAGACCCAGGACCATATTTACAAGATAAGCTCAAAAGATGAGAGAGGAACCTAGTTTTGTTGTTGAAAATGAAAAAATACTTACTTTTAGAAGTCATTAGGATTTCGTTTTGTTTAGCAAAACGACGTGGAGAAACAAAATAACACCTGTAAAATAAGCAGTACTCAGTCAAGGTTATATTTCTGCTGTGTTCAGTCATCTTTTTAAAAAGACTCTTCGTTTGCACTTTACTAAAAACTTGAGTTTTAAGCCTGAATTAAATAACACAGGCTAGACATGTTGCTGTTTGCCTTTTTTTTATCCCATTTGAAACACAGTGCAAGCTTCTTTTAACAAACTAACCTTCTCACAATTACCAGTGGAAAGGCTCTGTGAAGGTATAATTAATCAGGGCCTGTTCCTTGTGCCTAAATTAGGATAATGAAATATCACAGAGCAGCAGGAACAACAGTTCTTCATGATGTGCCCGTCAAACACTGGGCTTATGAAACACTCTGTAGATTCATTTACCAGACAAAATAAGAGGCACAAAAAAATAGGAAGAGCAGTTTTCTTTAGAGTTGCCCTGTGAGAGATCAAAGAGGATCCTTTTAAAGCTTCCTATAGCTTTAAAATTAACTTTAGCAGGAATGAACTGCAGAGGAAAGTAACTTATTTGATGGGAGAAATAGCACGAATAGGTGGCATTTTATAATGATAGCGTTATAAAATCAATATCCAAGAAATATGATCCCAGGTTTCAGAACCATAATTCCAATCTGATAGCAACAACAAAGAGAGACAATTCATGCAAATCTGTGCTCTGATGTCTTTCGGACATCACGCTAGTTCAGAAGTGCATTCGTATCTTGTAAAACATCCCTAAGACGCCTACTGTGCTTGTAGAGATCAGGTATGTTGCCTTATCTGTTTATGAAAGGCTTACTCAAGAGCATCCATGCAAAACGGACACGGCATTACTCTCCTATCTCAGGAAGCCCTTTCCTAATTAACATGTGCCCAGCCCAACAGAAAATTAGCTAATTGCTTGTTATTGCCCTAGGGCTGAATTCAGACAGGCCTGCAAGTGGAATCACCTTGCCTAGTGTGGGTGAATTGATGACAGATCATCAATCCCAATCAAGTCCAATTAAAAGCAAGCAGGCATGACCTTAATATTCTAAGGGCTACAGTCAAGTAAGGTTATTCATGTCGTGGTTTCTTCATCCCCTGTAATAAAATGCACAGATCAAGACGAAAGTGCAGTTCCAGCCAGATCCAGTAAAAAGCCATCTGCTGAAAGGAGGTCTGTTTATGGACAGTTAATGGTATATCAGCTCTATTTAGCCCGTGTGGACTTCACAGACAATTGAACTTGAAAGTCAAGTTGTTTTCGTTACGATGTCTCATGAAGATCCCTCAATCCGGTCATGAAATGACTCAAAATAATTGTACAATTGCTGAGCTGCCTTAGATGTCATTCAGTTTGGGAAGCAAGTCTGCCCAGTCTCCTCAAATGAATTTTCTGATGTTCTGTTAGAAACCTCTTCTTGTTCATTACTAAACCGGTGCGGATAGTAAAGGAAAATCTCAAGGTGCTTGGCTAACTTGTGTATCAATCATATCACCGAAAATAAATTCGATTAATTTATTAGTGTTAACATGCCTTCTGTAATGCAAAGGTACAACATAGTATTTTTCACTTGTTTTAAACGCAGTTGCCTTCACGCTAGTCAAAAGCACTGAGGTTTTTAAAGTTACTTTCTGTCAACGGTTTTGAATTCATGTTTATTTCTTACCGTGTTTGGGAATATTTCAATGATAATGTCCCTCCAACTGACTGACCATGAAGCCGTGGCCCGTCTTTGTCTGCACAGTGGGTATGTGGCTTTTTTTCCTTCTGAGTCCTTTATACAGAGCAGCAGACCCAGAGGTGTGGTGCTTCTGCCTAATACAACCAGTAATCTCCTCTGTGTGAGGTACTCACTCAGTGGGAAGATTAGCAGTCCATTTAGATGTTTTTCAGGGATAAGACTCTTTGATTTTTCTGTACTCGAGTTACAAACATGCTTTTTACATTGATCGGCAAAGACACTGTTGAATTTTTCACCCATTCCTACTGATTTTGAAAATACCATTGAAAGTACTGCCTTCCATAAAAATCCTATCGCTTTTGGTTCAACAAAGCCACATTCTTTGTTTTAGTATGGACCCATTTTGTCGAAGTTGTTAAGTATCTGAGATTTTGGACACTGCTGGAGGTTGATGATAAACTCCCCACAGGGCGTTTGCGATGTAACGTGAGATGTTATAGAACATGGGCTTTTAATTTCGCCACTGCCAGGTATACAGTTGCTGTTCTGTCAATACAACTATAGCTGGACAAGCAATGTGCTACTGTAAATATCCACAGGCAGCAACTTAATTGTAGCTTTGCTTAGTTTATGCAAGACCATCTTCCTTGACGAACAGCTATAAAAAGAAAGCCTGTGTTGAGGATAATTTTGTATGATTTTGTGTCATGGTGGAATGTTGAAAAATTGTGCTTTTTGCAAAACAGCCAAGCATACAAACCATCCCTAAAGAGCTGAGAGGGTGGAGGGGTGATATTGTGGCCTTGTGGCTTCTGTTCTGCCCCAGGGAAGATGGCTCGTCCCACCCCTTTCATTGTCAATGTGTGGGACACCTGTCAGGTGAAGAGGACAGGTTTGGGAAAAGGCTCCGGGCCTCTTCTGAAGAATAGAGGGGCGTGATGCAATACTCCTTATTGATATAAGATCAGGGGGAAGAAAGGCAGATGTGATCTGGGGACATGAGTATTTATTGGCTGGGGTTCATTACAACCATATTCGGATAAAACCCAGATTCTTAGGGCTCACTAGCAGAGTGGATGGAATTTATGACAGCAAAACACTCTATGACATATTACTTTGGGCTGAAAACATGACACAGGCAAAGGAATAACAATAAAACGTGAATTTAAAGACATAAAGGCATAAATCTTCTATAGATTGTTAACCTACAAAATCATTGCCTGTATAGGAATTACAATTTTACTTTTTTAGGCTTTCCTCGCAAAGTAATTTGAGTAAATATGATCTATATTGTTCAATGGCTATACAGAACTGTAGTGCGAACTTCTACATCAGCTGCACCTCAAATTATTAGTCACTGTAAAATGAGCCTGAAGAATAAATGGCACTATGTGACCTTTGAACGATTTAAAAGAAAATCAAACATAAGATCAGCTGAGTCTGGACATGCCCAAAGAATGATGAAGGTAGTTTCACAAAGCATTCATACACACCTACAGCCACTGAGGATCTAGTACCTGTTGCAACTGAAAGACTTGCCACACTGCTGTTACTCTGGAAGGTTTATTGTCTGGGCTGTAGCAAGTGCCATTGTCTGTCGCTTCTCATGAACACACAGTTCACGACGACTCAACAACGCTCCCGCGCCTGCTCGCTCACAAGCACCGCTGGGTTAGCATTACAACCTTTAGATGATCCGTATAAGCTTGCTTATCATCTAAATCTCCCCCAGTCACAAAAGAACGTGACTTCTTCATTAATTACACCCACACAGGCTAAAGGGTTCTGAAAGAACACACTGAGAGGAAAAGGGAAGCCGTCCCAACACTACAGCAATATGAGCTGTTTTGTATGATGTCATTTGTGTTCTTTACCCACCTGCACGCAAACTTCCTCTCTTCTGCTTCCTAACACCAGTACAGCTGACATCTTTCTTGAACAGAGAAGCTGTTAAAATGAGCATTCGTCCCGAAACCTGCAAACAGGTGAACAAGTCTGACTTTTGCAGATTGGATATAGTAGTTTCACTTCTTTCTCTGGAGCGATAGCAAGCTAGGTGAACATATATTTAGATTTTGGAAAGTGTCCAGTAAAAACAAAAGCATGCCAAAGAATTTAAAAACCTGGGAAAGGTGTAATGGCATACAGGTGAAAATACTGATATACCCTGGGTATCTTTTTTATTTGAAAATCTCATGTCATGTTTAAATGACATATTCAACTGGTGTTGATGCCACCTTCTAAATTCTTCTACAAATATTAAAATTTCACACTAGTCTCCTACAAGACTGGGTTTTATCTTTATAAAGAACCTTCCACCCTTAGCAGGATGGCCCCTTTCCCTAACAGTCGATTTTCTCTGTGATATCACTGTCTGTATGGATCTTTTCATTCCCACAGCTGCCCAGAGGTGACAGATTGATGGGAATCCGCTGGATTTAAGTACACCATATTCTGGATGTCCATCTACAACATTTCTGTGGTTGTCGCAACCATACGTGTCCGACTGCTCCAAATAATCCGCAAGATAACTTTTCTGTTTGCTTCATTCCACTAAAACACGAGTGTTTACTTTAATTCGCTCTGAAAATGTCCTCCTGTCACGACTATTCCTGGTTACCAGGCTGGTTCAACTAGACAAGTAACTGGGAATAAAGAAAGGATTCTTGGTTTCCTGGATCAACAGATTGGTAGTCTTTGAATACCTGCAGTTTACACTTGGGTGTGTCTGGTATGGTGTAGCAAAGGGCAAAAGTCATCAATACCACCATAGTTGATCTGAACAGCTGAGCCTGTATTTTAACATACAGCCAGCGGATGAGATGTGACACATCACATTCTGGGACCTGCTGGTTATAGACATACAGTACCACTGCTTTAACCTGAGTAAAGGTTAAACCTAATTAAGGGTTAAGGATCTTTTGGTTCCTTACGATACTCACTCACAGAGATGTATTGTTGAAGAAGTACCTGTGGTTTACTGACTCAGAGTTAATCCTGCACCAAGCCCTGTGCCTCACAGCTGAAAGATACAAAACTCCCATCATCAAAAAGGGGTGTTTTCGTAGGGGATCTCCACATTTGTTTCAGTTACCTCTCTGCACAACAATGCCATTGATTGAGCTTAAGCTTTCCCTGTGTACACTGTTGAAATCTCTTGGTTAGCCATCCTGTTTCATAATCTTTTAAAGGTTATCGAGTTTAACAATAAGGGTGAAACTGGAATGTCCTTCAGGGACTTAATGTTACCTTGCTGTTTTTATTTGCCAGGAGTGGGGTCACTTGTATGTAAATATTACCTTTCTGGACCAACCTTCGCCAAGAGGGCTGACCTCAAAACCAAATATTCGACTAACTTGTGAGAAGATTTTTTTTTAAGAGATGGGACCCTGATCTCATGAAGAGCCAGTAGCACTGTTTCCCTGAAAGCAAAAACATACAAATAAAAGAGAAACTACATCAGAATATAGTTAACATTATGCTCATCTTTGTGGTGTTTGTTTAGGTGGTGTTTTTGCTCTATTTTCATAAAATGGTTTTGTGACTTACAATCTCTTCTAATTTTTCTAGGATTGGATATCTAAATGAAGAGATTTGAAGAGCCAGAGCCCATGCCAGATTACCCTGGAACCTGATCTGTGGGCCCATTATTTGGGGTCTCTTAGACTGCCTGAGGCACATTCCGTGTGGAGTTTGCATGTTCTTCCAAAAAATGCGTGAGATTTCTCTGTGTGCTTCACTTTCGTGCCGAATTCCAAAGATAGGGTGTCCAGTTCAATAAGCGTCTCTGCATTGTCCCCGTGTATGTGTCCCTTCTCTGGGTATGTGTCAAGGCTCAACAGCCCAGATGCTGTAGCTGTGTTTCTTCTATCTACTTTTGACCATGGAATTGACTTGTTTGTCAATTGTGTTTCCTTTGTTCTCTTTCCAGCGGGGAATAAACCTTTACTTGTTCCTTTGCAGCCTACGCATGCTGACGCAGCTCCCTGCGTGGAAGTGAGTTTACCTGTTCCTTTCTCAGTCAGATTCCTGTCAATAAAACAAATAAAAATAACCATGGGACAGACATTTTCCAGGCCACAGACGAAGACCATGTTGGACATGTGAGGCTAACAGGTCAGATCCTGGAAAAGAGGAATGAAATGTTTCAGAAACAGAAATCAGGCCTGGACTCTTACGCAAAACACACTCAGCTGTCTGATTTGAGTGGAATTTCCCTGATACTTCACGCATCTTTCTGAATCATTATTTAAGACAGCACGTCTGTTTGATAGAATGACACTGTTTTTCCAGTCCTTGGATGAACAACCATTTCATCCAGTGTGGAAACAAGTCCGATCTGTTACGGGCATAAAAAAGCAGACGCCAAGCCATTTGATCCCCTTATTTCTTCCTATTTAGACAAGGAACAAATGTAACATATCTCCAGCACTGCGTGATCAGTTTATATTATATATTATTGCTGCTGAATGAAATAAAACCCATATTGCCTTAAGTGTGTGTGTGTTTGTGGGTGTGTGTGTGAAAAGTTAAAAATGTGTATAGACAGGGGAAGCAGTAAATTACTGGCTGGATGAGATGGTAGGCCAACACAGTACAAGCAGATGCCATGTTAACTTTACTTTCAACTCACATGTGCACTCAGTGGTGAGTCTTACCCAATGGACATGCTCAGTGTGTACAGTATATCTCCAGGAACCCCCCAGACATCTGGTCTGTGCGCAAAGTCATTCAGGCAGTGTCGCAAAGCCAGCATTACACACTTTAAATGTACATATTATTTGCTGTATATGAGTGTGCTGGACTGCGTGATAGAAGTTATTACACGCTGTAGAAGGAAACACATGACACCAGCAAAAATCACTCTGAACTTCCCCACTGAAATGCAAACGATGTGCCGTTTGTTTGTGCGCGCAGGTGTGGGATGTGGAGCTAGCGGTTCCCGTCCGAGGGTTTTGAAAAGAGCTGATGAGAGTTGATCACGTGTGAGCAGAGCTCTGTCCCAGGGTGCAAGTTGTGAGATATCTGCTGCGGTTTCCTCTTCCTGGAAAGCTCGTAAGCGCAGGTTACGGCCTAAGAAGCGCAGCAGGGCTCGCGGTCCTATCTGAAGACCCAGCGATCCGTGTTCACGATTTAAAATCCTTGCTTCGGGAGGCACATCTCAGGGAAAGAGAGAAGAACACCACCTTCGAAAACAAAATTAAAATCAGGGGTTTTCTATGCACAGCTGAAAATGAGCATGCTCTGATTAACCCTTAATCACATTTAGTATGCTTGAGTTTGCAAGTGATACACTGCTACTGTATTATTTATTTTGAGTGGCTTCTACTATTTTAACCTATTTATATTACACTAAAATATAAGATGCTCAACAGCCAGCTGTCACAGAATGAGAGAGGGACCTCTGGTTACCGTCTTTCTTTGGGGGACTCCTACAAGAGGACAGTTCAGGACAGCCTACGTGAAACATGAGCTACTTCTGACTACATTATGTTTTTTAACTCGTACTTCTATTACGTTTATGTTGAAGAATCTGTACCATGCTTTGTGAAAAAGCTGCCTATTCCTGGTGACGAATGCAGTAATCCAGAGCTTGTCCCAAAGGCACTGCGAGGAAGGCTTGACTGCACCTTAGACTGGACAGTAGTTCACTGCAGTGCACAGTGGGGCGGAGGGGTGGCTCTGTGGCTCAGGATCTGCGCCTGTTGCTGGAAGGTTGACAGTCCGTATCCCACGGCCGGCAGAGGAATCCTTCTCCGTTGGGCCCCTGGGCAAGGCCCTTAGCCCCAGCTGCTCCAGGGGTGCTGTATAAATGGCTGACCCTGCGCTCTGACCCCCAGCTTCTCTCCCTGTCTGTGTGTCTCATGGAGAGCAAGCTGGGGTATGTGAGAAGGCAAATTTCTAATGCAAGAAATGGTAATTACACCAATAAAGTGATCTTATCTTATACACAGACAATTTAGAGACACCAATTCACCTGACCTAATCAATTACCCTAGCCAGCATATCTTTAGCAGAACAGGTCGTCATGAGAACCCCCCCCAGAAACATGCAGGTGACTCCACACATACTGCCTTCCTTGGATTTGATTAATTTGAGTTTGGGATCACAGCACCACTGGGTTTCTGCCTTGCTGGTGGTACCAGGAGCTCGGTGGGGATTCTGCAGTGACGTTGCTGGGCACAAGGATCTGTGTGCTGGAATCACAATGAAGGGACAACAGGTCCCCTAGGTCATTCCAACACTATCCACCAGCATAGCTCCTCACTACATACTGAGGCGCTCAATGATAGTGAAATGTCATGCTAAAGTAGACTGCCTTACTTAAATGCAAAGCTGGACTGCACAGAGCAAGCTTCATCATATCTTAATTAACCAGGAGGCTTGAACCTTATTACACACTGCAGGGGGTAACAGCGACCTTTCCTGTGCACCTCGGGACTGAACAGCAGCCGCCTTTGACAGATAAACGAGATCTGCGCGTTTATTATAATTATTTTTTTTTTGGTTCACAAGATCACCCGAGAACCAAGAGCCAAGAGCAAATGCTAAATGCTAACCTAATGTTCTGAAGTTTCCCCCAGGTGACAATATTATCAGATATATCGCTTTCGCCCTACATCACGATGTGTGACAACGCGACAGCTCTCCAAAAAGTATTAGTTAACAGACAGAAACAAACAAAAAAAAGGAACACATCTCCACCATAACAGATGTATTGATTAGAGGCTTGCTGGTGTATTTCCCTAGCTCGGGGGATCGGTATACTTCACTGGATGCTCAAATCTTTAAATGTTTTTTTTTTAAAAAAATCTATATTCCTCTTTTCCAGGATCCTTACATCAAATTCCTGGTGGGCTGGCGCATCTCCCAATGCCCGAGTCCATCAACGTGACCTTCCGCGCCCCTCGCCACACCCAGGCGTGAGCAGAGCTACCTCTCCGGAACACGCCGGGCTACCGGCGACCCTACCCGGCCACGGCGCACGGCGCACGGCGCACAGCGCACGGTGTTTTTTCTTTTCCCCCTCAACCGCTTGTTTCCGTGTGTTTTTCCTGCAGGAGGAGGAGGAGAAGAAGGAGAGGGGAGGGGGGGAGCTCTTTTTCCACTTTTTTTTCCCTCCCTTCCCCTGAAACATCTTCCAATCCAGTCACCCCCCCCCCCTCGCCTGCAACACACGCACACGCACAACACCGCCACCTCCCCCAGCTTGTTGCTGGGCCCAGCCTTTCTCTCTCTCCGTGTGTGTGATCCAGCCAGCCGGCTTCCTGTGTTTGTGTGTGGACCTCGCAGGGCTCGGAGCTGCCACCTCAACATGCTATAAGCCGTGTGCGCTCGTCTCCGGCGGCACAAAGGAGGATCCGCGTCCAGCCTCAAGGGGGGAGGAGGAGGAGGAGGGGAAAAATATAAAGAAAAAAAGGCACACACACAAAAAAAAACAACAAAATAACGCCGAGCTTCACCCATGAAGGCGTGCGGCGTTGCGGAGGCACAGTCGGCGTGAAGGAAGAAGGACAGGACGTTGCAATTTTTATTTATTCTTTAAAAGATGGCGAACGACTCTCCTGCTAAAAGTCTGGTGGACATCGACCTGTCCTCCCTGCGGGTGAGTGTCGGGACAAGCGGGGGGCAGCAGCTCGTTTTTGCGCCGTGCGGGGACGGCAGACAAAAGCGTGAAATTTTTTGACGGTGCGTTTTTCCGCGGCGCACGGAAGGGCGGAATGAAATATCGGACCGTTTCGCGAAAAGGATGGGCTGATCTGCCCGTGCTGCTGGTGGTGGTGGTGGAGAGAAAAGAAAAGCTGTGGGCATATTCGTCGCTGGCAATGGAGATGGGGTGGCAGCCCCTGGTGGAGTTGGGGATCTTTCCTTTGTCTGCCGTGTGTTGGCATGTGCAGAGCAAACAGGGCGCAACAGCCCCGTTCAGCCTTCACCCCCGACTGCAGCGGCTGGCAATCGCGCCGGCATGTTCTCAACCTCCCGTTTTCCTTTGTCGTTTTAGGATCCAGCCGGGATTTTTGAACTGGTGGAGGTCGTGGGAAATGGCACCTATGGACAAGTCTACAAGGTTTGTGCCTTAAATTATCTTGCCTCGGACCGGAGCCCCCTGCCCTCCCCCACCCCCGCACCCCGCACTCGGCTAGATTGGACGGCAAGCAGCCGATAAAAATTAAGTTATTTTTTTTCCCCTCCCCTCCCCGGTCGGCGTCCGCAGAGTGACGATCCGGAGTCTGTGGTGCCGGAGCACATTGTTTTAAACAATGCAGGGCAGATAACGCGTTATCCGATGCGTTAAGGGTGTTTTTGTTTGTTTGTTTGTTTGTTTTTTACGCTTTCGTGCCGGGGTGCGTGTTTGATCATTTCTACATAGCTTGGGGGAAGCGTGTCCTTGTCTCTTCTTCTTGTCGTCATCACAGGACAAAACTAGGTGTAGCCCCCCGCCCCACTCAGCCGACTTCCAGGGCGGAATCTGACATTTCTCACGGCGGACGGCGGAGGGTTACGTCATTTATTCCGAGAGATGGGTTTTTTTTATTTTGGAGGGGGGGGATACACATGTTTCTAAAGGTTGAAACGTGCGAGCACAAAGCGGATCTGGGCATTTAAGAAGAAGTGGTGGAGGCCCCGAAAACAACGAGACCCTGTTTGCAAACACCCATCTCTAAGCCTCCCAAAGTGCATGTGTGGTAGTACATCATATCCTGTTATGCAGACCGTGCTGCTGGTGAGGAGGGGAGAGGGGGGAATGGGCAGTATTGATATGCAGTTCGCTCACGCCGCACTTGAAATGTTCTCCGTTTGGTGGTGCCTCGACGAATTAACTAGATTTTTCTTCGACAATGGGATTTAATTTGAACGCAGTCCTGTCTTTTCATTCTTCCCCCCTCCCCCCCCAAAAAAGTTTTCTTCTCTCTGCTGTCTTTACGCTTCGGGTGCACCGTCAGTCCAAAACAGTTTCAGGGTCTTGAATGAAGAAATCCCAGCACACTCCAGTATTTCTTATTTGCTGAGATGTTTTGTGTGGGGGGTTGCTCCGTCAGTGCTCTTTGTGTGCGTGGTGTGGCTGGTCGGTTTCTGGGATTCGTGCCACTTGTGGTATTGAGGTCTCGGGAAAGGTCAAGGCTTTAACCTAAGTTTTAGTGTCATGGAGAGAAGGAAGTATCGGAGAGGTGTGTAGCGATGTGGTAGTGTTTCTTCCCTTATGCACAAGTCAGATCAAGTTCAGGCTTTGATCTGGGGGGTGTTCAGTTTGGGAAAACTGAATCATTCAACAGACAGTGCTGATATGGCCTCCGGTGGTTCGTTCTTGGGAAATTTGAAAAATAAACCCGTGTAGGGGACGCTTGCCTGATGATGGATGTCTCACGGTGTCCCCGTCTGGGAGGTTAGAGGAACTAGATGTTGATTTCTGTCCTCAGTGACTGCTAGAATCTTGAATGAAAAATGTTTGGAGCTGGGGGTGGGAGGGATCTGTTTTTTTTAAAAAAAGCTCGTCTTCTCTTACAGAAGTCTCACAGAGTACTGAACGTCACATTTTCTAGCCTTTACGGCAGTGGTACATCAGGGTTCATTTTAAATTCTACAAGTGCTTCTGCTTCTCAAGTAATTCTGTGTCTTGGTGACATGAGTGGTGTTAGCCATATTTGTAGTTCGAGTTTTTACTTTTCTTCACTATTAATTGTTACACTATAAACACACACGCCTCAGGGGATGTAAACCAAAAAATATAGTCAGTTTATTGATAAAGGGCTGTAATTTTGTAGATCTCTTTATTTGCCGCAAAACGTATCAAACTAGCCTCTGTCGAGGTATGTGGTTAGAAAATAGCTCAGCGTTTCTTGAGAAGCTATAGACCAGATCTGAGATGGCATCGCGCTGCAGTGAAGGAAATGAAAGGTAGCGAGCGGGTTTTCTACCTTATCGTTTTCCAGAAGAGCGGCGGTAGAGTAGATCCTTACCCGTGAGCCCTGATGTGCAAAATGTGCAGCACTGCTGGGGCTTTGACAAAGAGCGTGTTGTGTGTGATCTGCGGGCCTGTCACATGAGTCCCTCATGGGGAGGTCAGTGTCGGGCCTGTGGCCGATGGCCCCGTGCTGCTGCCACTGTGACGGGCTGCCCGGGCTGTTCCTCGTGTGCTCCCGTCAGGGAGAGGCTAGACTGCAGAAACTGAACCATCACACACGAGGTGCGAGGAGACGTGTGACTGGGTCGTTGTCTCCGCGGGGTGCGTTTCATCGGGGTGCTAATGGACTGGGGAGCAGGTCTTCTTTCAGCCAGCCTCCAGCTCTGTGCTGGTCAGTGCTCTGTGAATTTGTAAGAGACCCCTGATGTGCACAGCAGAGAGACGGAGAAGTGTCTGCTAGTAACAGAGACTTGGGTGCAGTCGAACTTGTTTTGTGAGTTTTTTTGATTGTGTATTTTAAGAAATGCTGAGTGATATTGATAACTTTTACCCCCTGGCGATGGCTGTGAAGTGGAGCTGTTTTTACATTCTGGTGGCTTTAACAGATGTGTGCAGGTCTTAGTTTAACACGGGATGTTGTGTTCTCAGTGTTAACATTCTGCATATTGAAGAAGTAACCTTTAGTCACAGATGTGTGGATTGGGTAAAATGTGGAATAGGCATTCTCCCTTCTGTGAGTGTTCCTTCAGAGTTTGCATAGCAACAAGCTATATAGTTCCATTTTACTTCCTCAAAGGATCCAATTCAAAGCAGTGCTGGATGCTGAAGGCACCTTTTCAGATTTTTGGTGTTGATATGAATCTGATCAGCTTTCTTGGGACATTCGTTTCTGCGCGTGCATGAAAGCACAGAAACTGAAATGGCTTTATTTTTGTGGGTTTCGTCATAATTGGGATTTGTAGCGAAAGTCCTACATGCACTATTTGCATAACAAATATGCAAGCCTATAGTTGGCTATATATAGCTGGATGAACAGATTACCGAAAAGCATCATACAGAAAGGCCCTAAAGCTAATGGATATACTGTAGCCATACAGCATTTCTCTGAGCTTAAGATCATACTGTCAATGCTTCATAACAGTCGATGAAAATGGTTAGGATAAGCCCAGAATATACTGACTCTGTCTGCTTAAATCTGTGAATTAAACCTGGATTAATTGGAGGAAGGGGGTTAGGGAAAATGTATGCCCAAGGATAAGAGACTACAGGACTGGGAGAGGGAGTAACTGTGGGGTGACTTGCAGAACTGTAGCATTAGGAAGAGGGGGCTGATTGGTATTGGACAGGAGATCTCCAAGCCAAACACAGGCTGCTGTTGCAAGTGGGAGGTAGACCAGCAGGTGGTACATCTCTCTCTCTGGTTCATCCTCCATCGAGCCGTCCATCCGTTTCCGAACCCCCTTCATCCAGTACAGGGTCGGGGGGGCGCCAGGGCCCGTGCCAGCAAGGCAAGGTACACCCTGGATGGGATGCCAGTTCATTGCAGAGCACAGACGCGCTCACACCAGGGCCAGTTTTTCCAGAAGCCAATGAACCCACCAGCGCGTCTCTGGAGTCTAGACTGGGTAGAGTGTGGGAGGAAACCGGAGCACCTGGGGAAACCCACAAGAACCCGGGGAGAACACGCAGACTCCATGCGCATGGCTCTGCAGTTCCGGACCTGTCCTTAGGATGAGGCTCCTGCCTGAACGGCCTTTGGACGATCCCCGAGGCGAGCCTCTCCTTGGGCCGGCGCGGACTGGCCTGCAGTGGACTTGAATTCCGAGGCTGGAATCTGTCCCGTCTCCCCCTGTGGCAGTCGGGTGCTGCCCGGGTGGGCGCCACATTTCCCCGGTGGATGAAGTTGGACCCCTTTTTGTGTGTGAGGAGCCTTGGCATACAGCTGCTGCAGAGATGCGAGCCAGCCGTGGTCCGTGAATTTCCTTCCCGCGCGTCCCCAGGTGTCGTGTGTTTCCGAGGCGGCAGTGCGGAGTTGTGGTTAGGGCTCCGGACCCGAGGGGCGCGGGTCCACGGCCCAGGTCAGGGGTGCCGCTGCTGCACCTCGGCTCTTCCAGCGGTCGGCCGGGACCGGGGACCGCAGCGCCGGCTGGCGTCCTGCTTCTCCGGGAAAAGGCGGAAAATAGAGCCGATTCATTCCAGACAACGGAGTCTGACTGCTGTCTGTTTCGAGTGAGGTTGTGGAAAAACGTAGAGCTAAATTGGAGGATCTAGAGTGGAAATAAGATCACAAGGGATCGTCAACAGATCTAGAACAGATATAGAAACAGTCTTGCTTGTTAGAGGTCTTTGAACAAGTAGCAGCATTAATGGACACGTGAAGGGTGGGCAGCGTGGTGGGTTTAGATACGTCTTGCTTTGATTTCGGGGTTCTGCAGTAAGTGTTGCGGTGATGCAGAGGCTGTGAAAGACTACCTGCAGTGCTCATGTGGGCCTGGGTATGTAGTGCGCTGTATAATCTGTAATCTTTCAGGGCAGTTCAGGGACCTTTGGTTTTATATATATATGTGTGTAAATAAAACCTAAAATTAAACATTTTTGATATCGTTTACAATCCACGTCAAAGTGTGGTTTCGGAATCTGCTGCCCTTTAATTGCTCACATTTACAGCGTTGTTTTTAAAGCCAAATAATTTCATGCAGAAATTGTGCATTTGGGACTAGGAAGAGCAGGCGAGATCTATTGCACAATACAGTAAAAGTCACGTTTTTGTCGCAGAAAACCCAGAAGTAGCTAGTATGCAAGCAAAATGCTGCCGAGAAGGTGGATAAATTAGTCAAACTTGATTCTGTCTGAAGAAACATGGAAGATGCAAGCAGCCTGCCAGTGGTGTATCGAATTGGAATCCAGCTTTTAGGTCATGCTTTGACCATGTAAACATATTAGGACAGAATATCAAAGTAGAGCCTTTTAAGTGGTATATTTGACACGGTTGAAGGGTAAGGGTATGGCTTATATGACTGTTACAGTATTATCCAGGAACAGCTATGCAGTTAGGAGTTGTGGTAATTTTATACTTTAGTCAGTCATTGGTTTCTGGAAAACGATGTCTTTTGAGAAATGTTGCTGCCTTTGTGTGCTCTGCTCGTTCTCCCTCTCTGGTTCTG